CAGGATCTGGTTCTGAAAAGAACATGCAAGTTAACATCAGCTATTCAGAAAGAGAGAGAGAGAGAGAAGGATTAAGTTACACATGGGTGCATGAGAAAGAGAAGACTATTTATGGAGGAGTCCCTCAGATTTTGGTGTACAGGCCAAGAACAAATTTGTACACTTGCTTTGCCTCTGAGCCTCCCAGAGGTATTTGGCTGGGCATTGCTGGAAACTGGACATTGGACCAGATGAAGGCTTGCCCAAAGCTAGTCGTGAATACGTGACAGAAGTGTGGCCTGACCCATCCCTTCTGACCCCACATTTACTACTGCAGAGGAATGGCCATTACATGGAAAACAAGCCAGATAATTTGCCACCCTTCTTATCCCCCAAATCAATTCCCCTTCAGTTTTACTCATTATCTACCCAAGTCACCCAGAAACCAGTTCCTTTCATTTCCACAGTACTGATTACCTTTCTGCCGCTGCAAGAAGGAAGACCTTGAGTTGCATTATACATTGACTCCTCTCTGGCCAATGTTCCTGCTCCAATCCTCTCTTCCTCACACTTAGAGGAACTCAGGTTCTGCACAAATGTTGTGAACTGGGATCACAGCTGCCATCTAACCAAACCTGGGTCATCAGCTGCATCACATCTCCCCTTTGGTCTTCCTCAAGCTCAGGTCCCCATTCGCTGCTCCACACACCTCTAGGCAGGCAGACTGGGGGATGCCAGCTGTGTTCTGCACCAGCATACTGAAGGCAAGGCTGGGTTGTAACAGAATCAGAGCCAAGAATAGTACGAGAAAAAGGTTATTTATCTCATAAACCCATCTGTGGGTAGCTGGGCAGCACAATCCGTCACATCAGCCATCGGCCAACCGGTGGCCTCCAGATGTTTGCTACTGCAGCACATCTGGATTTTTGTTTCTAATGAGGCCACTCACTTGAGAATGAGGCTGCTAAGGATAAGGCCACTTGGAAATATTCATGTGAAACCTGACATCCCTCCAATATTTGTTTGTGGCTCAGGAGCTAAGTAAAGGGGGAAAGACCAGGAGACGAAACACCACCTGAAAGGAACGGCTGTCTGGGAAGAAGGCTGGGAACCACAACAAGGTGCGGGTGGGAAAAATCAACTGCCAAGAGAGTACCAGCACCTCTGGACCCACTCATTTATGATTATGATTATTACTATTACTTACATTTCTATTCCACCATTTTTTCTTCCTGCAAGAACTCATAGGTTTACATAATCGTCCTTCTCATCTCCATTTTATCCTCACAGCAATCCTGCGAAGTTGACTAGGCTAAGAGTCAGTGACTGGCCCAAAGTCACCTAGTGAGCTGAGTGGGTACTAAACCCCAGATCTCCCGAGTCCCAATCCAACATGGTCACCACTGCACCCCACTGGTATATAATGAATCCACAGTGCCCTTACAACAGAAGTGTAAAGTATACACAGACCCCAAGCCTTCTGCCACAGCTCTCCTGTTACCAGGAAAGGGGGTGGGGGAAAGAAAAGTTCTCTGGGATTGAGCTGAATGGCACCATCATAAATTCCTCTTTGAAGCACTGCTCAAAATTTCCTCCCCACTTCCTAAGATGCTCTAGAAACACCACCGCTATGAAACCCTAGACCCTATTCCTAGAGAATTTTATTTTTCCTGCTGGGTTATTCTGAAAAGATACCAGCTAACAGAGTAGAAGAAAATGGATTAGAAGAGGCATAAGAGCTGGGAGGCAAGATTCTGGAAACACTTGAGAACTGAGACACATTGGATTTACCTGCCAGGCTTGGACTGTGACATACCCTTGAGGATGAGTTGAATGAGCGAGCTACACATGTGTGAGTGTTGCGTGTGGCTGTGCGCATCTGTGGCTGTGTGCATCTGTGGCCCCAGTGCCCTATGCTGGCACAGTCTGCAGAAGGCCTTTTGAAATCAGGAGCACCCACACTGATCGGAACAACCACCACTATCTATGTTTTAAGAGCCTATGGCACCACGGGGAAATGTCAGGCAAAGATGGCCAAGACTGTTGGTTCAGAAGCTTGTCAGGATAAGCCCAATGGAAAGGGTGACCCAGGAGTCTTGCGAATGAAGTGGACTACTTAGTTTAACCGTGAGAATGGAACGAAGGTGAAGGAAGCTACATCATGCCCGTACGTGGAGCAGCATCACAACTAGGAATTCTAGCATCTGCTGGGGGAAGGGATGGAATCTCCAACTTCCAAGGGACCTCTGATCTAATCTGTGCTAATGGAGGAGATCTGCTTGTACATCATCCCAATTTTGTTTCACTGAAATACCCATGTAACTTGAGTCCCATCAACCATGTCAGAGCCTCCAAATATTTGATGTTGGCTATCATGCCACCTCTTCATTGTCTCTTCTCCAGGCTTAACTTCCTCCAGCTCCTTCAACCTTTCCTCAAAAGGGATCTCCATTTTAAGCTTATAGTTAGCACACCAAAGGGTTTAAGCCTGCTTCACTTTCCCCCATACTGTCACTGAGCTGCACTTAGCAGAAACCCCCAACTGTGCTCCAAGGGGCATGTGACAGGGAGAGAGCCCCCTTTTTGCATGCAAGCCTTGACCCATGGGATGCTAATCCACAGGAGTAATTATGCAAAGTTCATAAGGCAGGTCTGTGAACAGAGCAGCCAGTTTGGGGCAACATTCTCCGCTCAGTGCTAACATGAAATCCAGCATATCACAGACAAAATGCCTGCAGCCATCTTTAAGAGTGTGCAGGGCTGAGGTGGAGGCTATTCATGACAGCGTGCATAAGTTAGAGGCTGCAGATTTATTTTTCCTTCCTGCATCTCTAAACTAGCATGAATGATCTGCCACAGCCACAATCTGCAGAAGGCTAAAGAAGTTTGAACCAGATTAATTCCTGGAGAGGAGATAATGGGTGTCTGACGTAAGCCACTCTGGGCTTCCTAAAAAGAACAGACATCTGCTTCATACACTGGGATAGCACTGGCAATCAATGGATTAATGAGAAGGAGGCATGCCCTGAGTGTGACTCATACAGAAGTGCATCAGGAAACCTCCTTGACAGTAATCGTTGCATCTGTGCAGAGGGAGTAAATTGATGATCCTATTACATCCAGTGCAGAATTAGAGCAGAATTACTCCCTTGGCACTGGAACCAGTTCTAAGGAGGCAAGGCCAGAAAGAGGGATCATGCAGAGCCACAACATGCAAGCTTCCCATCCAGGTAGGGAGCTCTTCTGAGCCCTTCCTTTCTAAATTAGCTTCTTTCTCACAGCACCCTGGCAGTCCTAGGCTGGGAGTTTCTGACTATAGATGTGACTCAGCCTTAAGTTCGTGCTTCGTAGCACTTACATTTCTGGAAAAGAGCAGGACAGAGAGCTGCTATTGTGTTACGCTCAAATAGAGAAAGCAATCCTCTTCTGATGTAATCATTCAGCACATCTTCCATTGGGTTCTCCCACACTGGAGGCATCCGCGATGCCACTGGACGGCCATCTGGGAGGGGTGCTTGGACTTGGAGTCCTGAGCTGAGCAGGGGGTTGGATGCAGGGGCCCTCTTGGCCCCTTTCAAGGCTACTATTCTAGGATTCTAGGATTCTGCATTGGGGTTTCGACATTTCCAGTTGCTTCCATTCACCACACCAGCCAAGCAAAAGAATGCCAGTCCTTGCACACCGGTTCTCAGAAGGCCAAAACACAAAATACCGTCTTGGAATCTTCCTGAGACCAACCAGGGCTTTCCATCACTTACAAGCATTTGAGACACAATCTCTTATTATTAATAATAATATTTAAAACAGGAAATGTCCTGTCTTTTTCTATAAGAAAAGAAAAATATACATCCACCTCTGTAAACCTTCCTGGTCCAAATATTCTCAAAAATATAATTCTTAGGCAGGCAATGCTGCACCCACACACACGCTGGCACACTCACAAACACACCCACACAGACACACGAATAAATAAAAATAACATAGACCTCAATAGGATATGAAACTAAAACTAAGACCCAGAAAATAATAAAATAAATGCTTTTTTGTTTCAAGCATTCCTCCTCCCCACACACACACTCTCATACACACAAACACCCCCCCCCCCAAATGGATATAGTTCTGCAAGCATGGCAAATCATTCCAACAACAACGAAGAGTGAAAGCAAATATTTTTTAAATCCATATTATTTGCTTTTGAGTATTAATTCCATTGCTAGGGTTTTGTTTTCCGCTTGTATTTTCAAAATGCATACCAGTTTTACAAAATGCATGCTGTATTTTCTTTAAAATATATTTTTGCAAGGATTTGTCCTGGCAAGCAAAAGCAATCCTCCTTTCCTGCTTTGTTCCTTTAAAAAAACATTAATACAATCTAATAAAATCTAGCATTAAAAAAAACTTATCATGATACACTCAGTATATTAATTGGTTACAGCGCATGCTTGACTCAACAAACAGAAAGGAATCACAGCTTCCCCCTCCCCCTCCCCATTTTTTGGAAGCCAAGAGCAGGCCAAAACACCAAGTTCTTCGAAGGAAGAATGCCTATGTTAAAAATTCCCATACCTGATACTTCAATATCTACTTTTGTTAGTCACATGGCACTAGTAGTGGAATTGTGCGTGCGCACCCATACCCACACGCTCAACACACACATACACACCCGTGCTCACACACACGCAGCAACCTGCTTGTGAAGAAAAGAAAGAGTTCGTTAGGTCAAGCGTGCCAGCGGCACATAAAAGCTACCAGCTGTGTGTGCAACTTTGGAATTTTGATACCCTCTTCCCAGGACCTCGGATTGTCTGACTACCGAGGTGGGTAAACGTAAGGCATACTTTGCTGGAAAACGGTTCGTCCATGCTTCATGCTCCAGAGCTGAGTCTCAGAGGAGGGATGACTTTCCCTTTGCTGCATCTCCTTGGTTAGCGCGAGCCTTGCTCTGACTCACGCGAGGAACTTCTTTTTAAAAAGCAACAGTCTTGGGAATGAAAGAGCAAAACCCCCAGAGACAAATCCGTTCAGATGGACTTCCGTCGTCTCATCAGCCAGTGGCTATCTGTAAAGCTGTGCAACCCGGGCGAGATGGAGCTGACAGGGGATGGGAGAAGGCTGTTTTTTAATGTGCTTGGCGAGATCTCCTCTATCTTGTAGGAGATGGAGTGAAAGTACTGGAGGTTCAGCTTGGAGCTGAAGGAATTTTGGTGGGACACAACCCGGCTGGTGTATTCATGGGACCTGTAACACATGCATGAACAATCGGACTGCAGGTCTGTAACCTCAGCCTTATACCGTGGCCGCCCGTGCTGGGAATCCTCCTGGATACGGACGATCATGCTGCTGCGGTTCCCTGCCAGGGACGCCCGCTCCTCGGCCTCCCGTCTCTCTTCCTCGATGTTCATGAACAACCTGAGAACAACCAGATTGAGAAATGCCCCAATGACCGTCAACCCCACTAGGATGTACATAAAGCTAAATGCCACGTAGAGCGGCTTCTTCTGAAGGGCTCCTTTTGTCTGAAGGGCCACATAGTCCCCAAACCCAATTGTAGTCAATGTTATAAAACAGTAATAGAAGGCCTGGAAGAAGGTCCATTCCTCGCAATGGGAAAAGGCCGCTGCTCCTATGCAGAGGGTGCCAATGCAAGAGAAGAAGCCCACGGCCACCATGTTCTCCATGGAGACGTCGGTGCTCCTCATCCTGCAGCATTTTTTCATCCGTTGCAAGAGGTACTTGACAAAGGTGTTCATGCGTTCGCCAAGGCTCTGGAACATGACTAGGGTCAACGGAATGCCCAGAGCTGCGTAGCACATGCAGAAAGCCTTTCCAGCATTTGTCCCAGGGGCGGCATGCCCATAACCTGGAGAAACAAAAGACAAAACAGGTGAGTGAGTAATGAAAAACTGATAGAAATCAGAGCCTTCCCTTATGCACCCTGTGAGCAATGCTTTCCATTACCTGAGTAGTCAACCTTTTATGAATCATGACTTATTTCTGTTTCCCTTGGGTGGACGTTGACAACATAAGATCTGCCCCAATTAGTTCCCTACACTGAATACTTTGGAAGGAGAATCTTGAGAATCTTGCACGGTTAAAAAGTGGTTTCGTATTTTAAATGATTTTCTCTTGCATTTTTATCCTCTCAAAGTGGCTCACAATAACAAATTGTAATAATCTACCCAAAGGGAACAGTAAAATCACATAACAAGAATGACCGTCTTTTTAAAAATGCAGACACAAGCAAGAACAATTGCAGCATGTTTCCAATGTCCGGCATTAACACCACAGGATCGAAAGCCAGTTCAACTAAAAAAGCCGAAAATGGCATTTTTACTGTCCTGCTTAAGATGAGGAGAGAGTTAGCCAGGGAAGGGTCTGTAAACAGCACTGAAAAAAATAAAACGAAAGACTGGAGCTCTGGTTGTAATCCTCCGCACCTGGGGGGGAAAAGCTCAGTGGAAATAGTAATTTATGTCTGCACAAACTTCCATAGGCCCCAATTGTACAGTAGCATAGTCCCAATTTCACAGATGAGATGCTAAGAATAAGCAGGGACGAGTGCAACAGGGATAGGTTTGAAAACAGCCAGAGGACTTTGCTGCTGTCCTTTGCTCTTGGCTTCCTCTTGGTTTTATTCTGCACTGTTTCTATTTGTCTAATGTATGCACTGTATGTTGTAGTGTACGGTCCACTACCCAAAGATCTTTGGTTCTTGGATGGCTAAAAAATAAAATGCCAAGGAGGTCTTCTTCCTCTGCTTTTGTGCAATCTGAATGTAGAGTTCTGTGTGCTTTCCTTTCAATCCATTTCAATTTCAGGTAATTCAAGCCACTTCAAAAGAATGGAAGTGGTGTCAGTACAGAATGCTGTTTTTCTTCACCCTCCTCCATTTTGCTATGGCAGTGGAAATCCGCCTTCCTCCATGGGCCATCTCTCCTCTTGACAACAGCGTGAGAGGGTGCAGAATAAATATGCCAAACCCCCATGACTCAGAGTTTTCTTACTCATGCGGGTTGGTGGTGGTGTGAGATGACAGATAACGACAAAGAAGTAATTGCTTCTAAAATTTTAACATGCCGGAGCTCAGACCTATTGGGATGGGAGATATGTCATGATGGAGGTGACATGTTAGCACTGTTTCCTCTGGTAAGTCAGGGCAAAGGGTGACTTAGATCTTAGCAACCAACTCCAGCAATGCTTTCAGCATCCAGAAAGACTTGTTTCCTTTTGCTTGATCATACTCTATACAAGCCCAAGGCTACCATCTGTGGGCTAGAAGACTGAAGAATGGATGCATGGCGAAACTCTGGAATTAGGTCCCAGGGGATAGCTACCAATTTGGAAGGTTTTCAAAAGGGTTTGGACAAATTTATGAAGGAGAAGGTCACTAGTCCATAACACAGAGGCTTCCTCTAGTAGAGGTACTATGCCTATGTACACCAGTTGCTGGGGAACCCAAGTTGGAAATATGCTGTTGCCATCATGTCCTGCTTGTGGGCTAACCAAAGGCAGCGGGTTGGTCCCAGAGTTCATGGAGAACAAAATGTTGGCCAGATCACTCTTTGTTCTGCTCCTGTTTGGATTCTCTTGGGTTCTAAAGTGAGACCTAGACCGCTCTCAGCTGGGCATAAAGTTGTCCGGACAGCTGAGCCTTTCATCTGAATGCAATAAGCTGATGGCAAACATCATGAGAGGGTTCTTCTCCATGACTGAGGTGGGAGCCAAGGAAAGCAAATGCAGAAAGCCACACAACTGCTTCCAGTTTATTGCCAGTTTCAGATGTACCAAGGCTTTGCCCCTTTCCCTCCTATTCTCCTTGGCAATGCGTATGCTTCACATGCAAAAGGTTGCAAGTTCAGGTCTCAGCATCTTCAGGTAGGAAAGATGCCTTTTTGAGACACTGGAGAGACTCAACCAGTCTGACTAGTGTGAGCTAGGTGAGTCCTTTAGGACAAACTCTCTGGAAACTGAGTTAAGGACCTTCAGTTGAAGCTTCCACGGAAAAGCTGAGGCTCTCAAATGAGCTCCATACACCATACGACCTTGTGTATGCTCCAGGAGGCAGAGTCTCTTTCTTATTTGGGATATTTTAAAGGGAGGACAGGGATCCGCACATGAGTCCGAGGAACTGAAGAGGAGCCCTGCTGGATCCGACGAATGGTCCATCTAGTCCAACATTCTGTCCATACAGAGGCCAACCAGCTGTCCAGAGAAGACCCACAAAGAGGACATGAGCACAACAGTGCCCTCTTGCCCAGCAAGGGGAGACAGAGGAATACCCCCTCTGCTACTGGATACCACATATAATCATGAGGACTAGTAGCCATTGATAGCCCTTCCCACCATGAACTGCTCCAGTATTGGGTTTCTGGGATCAATTTGCTTGTCTGACACCACTGCACACAGGCAGCAAGTCAAGACAACAGGTCTACTCAAGCCTGGCCTTTCTCAATCTGATGCCCTCCCGAAAGGTTTGACCACAAGCCCCATCATCCCCAACCAGCATGCTCATTGTAATCTAACACATCCAGAGTACCGCAGGTTGAGAAAGGCTGCTCTAAGGTGTCCAACACAGAGGACCAGCCAGCTTTAAGACACCACATAGCTGAAACTGAAATTCAGAATTCTGTCTACCTGTGAAGCAGCCAGTGAAGTGAAAGAGGTCGTGTTTGTGAGGACCCGAATCAGCCTTGGAGGCATTTTCCGACTATGTTCTTTCATGACTCCCTCATGTGCTACCAGTTCAGTGGAAATGACCTCATGTGCTTGAATCAGCAACAGCCGTTCCCACATGCATGCCGAGCCTTGCTGGGGATTGGTTCAGGTTTACCACCAGACTTTTTATCACTGCCTGGGAGTAGCCGATTAAGGTCATCCAAACATAAGTAGGGCCCTGCTGGATCAGACTGAAGACCTAATAGAGCATCTGTTCCCCACAGGAGCTAATCAGAAACTACAACGGGAAGCCTACAAGCAATAACTTTTCCAGGCGTTTTAGTTCCTGTGAGTGGAAATAGCATTACCATCAAGTCCTGTCCAAAACAGAATCTGGAATGGAGTGAGAAGAACTGTTACTGTAACATAGTGAACTTACTTATGGCTTTGCAATGGAAGGGCAGCAAAATTAAAGGGTACAGCTAAATTAAAGAAAGGTACAAAGCATGGCTTCTAGACTGAAAGGTAGTGGTATTACTACCACTCTGCATGACTCTGGTGCACCTGCAGCTGGAGTACTGTGTTCATTTTTGGGCTCCACATTACAGGAAGGATATAGCCAGGTTGGAGCCAGTGCAGCGTAGGGCCACAAGGATGGTGGTCAGATTGCAGGGAAAGCCGTTTGAGGCGAGACTGAGGGAACTGGATCTTTTCAGCCTGAAGAAGAGGAGATTCAGAGGGGATATGTTGGCAACAAACAGGTACATGACGGGGTGCCACACAGAGGTGGGTAGAGACCTGTTCTCCCCTGCAGAGGAGGGCAGGACATGCTCCAATGGAGCCAAGCTCAAGAAATCAAGGTTCAATTTGGATGCCAGGAAGTACTTCCTGACAGTTAGGTCCTCTAGGGTATGGAAAGGGCTTCCACGGGAGGTGGTTGAAGCCCCATCGGTGAGGGTGTGCTAGGATAGGCTGGACGTGCACATGGTAGGCATGTCATGAGTGGAGCTGGCTGGAGCCGGGGGTCAGACTAGAAGGCCCAGGAGGTCCCTTCTAACCCACTCTGTTTCTGTGTTTCTAAACTTGTACACGTTTAGACAGGGGAAAACGGCCTACAACCCCCAGCATTCCCCAGCCTGTCATGCAGACTGAAGAATTCTGGAAGTTGTAAGACAGTTTTCTATCTAAGCATGCCTAGGAATGAACCCAAAACACATCAGTTTTAGTCTCTGCCTTGCCCTGAGGAGGGAGGGAGGGACTAGAAGATGATGGGATCAGACATAAATGTAAAACATAATTAGTAAAAAAAACACTAAAAAGGCAGACGAGCAATAAAGCCAATCTAATCGCAAGCTCCAAATCTTGAAGTAGGTTGCTTGCAGAAAGTTTTGCGGCATTTGGCACTCGTACAAAAAAGGCTTTATTTTATCTCACTGTATTTGGGAACTCCCAGGGGAGTTGCACTTCATGGGAAGGCAACACTGCCTGGAGAAGACCATATGCTAGAGAAAGTTAAAGGCAGAAGAAGAAGAAAAGGAAGACCAAACATGAGATGGACGGACTCCATCAAGAAAGCCTCTGCCTTGAATTTGCAAGAGCTGAGCAGGGCCGTCACGGACGGGACATTCTGGAGGACTTCCATTCGTATGGTCTCCATAGGTCAGAGACAACTTGACAGCACATAGCAACAACCATACACTTGTTCCAGCTCGAACACTACAAAACCCATGGCTAAGTGTGACTGTGAGCAAGATTCCCATGCCCCCAAAGATATGAGACCTATAAATGAAAGAAGCTAATATTAGGCATATCAGACCCCAAATAGGGCCAGCTGAAAGTGGGGTGGATTTCCTGCCAAAACAGTTTACCCAGTCATCACTAGATGTCTCATCAGAGCTGGTATTAAGGGAAGGTGTGCCTGAAGCAGCATGCCAGGAAGCATGAGAGATGCATTCGCCAGGGTCAAAGATAGACATCGTTGGGCAAATGAGAGCCCTGCAGGGGCCCACTGAAAAAACCCCCTGGTGTTCTTTCTCCTCTTAAGAGCATGAGATAAGCCCTGCTGAATCAGCCAAATGTCCATCTAGCCCAGCACTCCATACACATGGTGGCAAACCAGCTGGCCACAGGGTCCCTCCAGCAGGACGGGTACAGGACCTCCCCCTGCCCAGCTCCTCAGCAACTGGTGGATGCCGGCGGGCCACC